GGATTCTTTCTAATGGGATAGCAAGTGGCGTTTGTCATGCTTCTAAATGGGGGGTGGAGTTATTGGCAAATTTGGGGCCCAATCACCCGGACTCCATGGTCGTGTCGTTCTGTGCACAGTCTCGTGTTCGTGCCAGAACTACAGTGTGGGTCTTCTTGTCGCCCTTGCGCCTTGCCCTCCTTGTGCAAATGAGGCCCTTGCCAGCAGCGCGTTTCGCTGGTGCCGCTCCTGACGCCCTCCCGGGTTCGCCGCGCTCTTTCTTCTCGCTGCAGCCACCTGCAGGCTCCGCATATGATACATATTAAGCCTGCATTTTAAACAGGTGATTGAGGGCTGCCGTCTCTCCAGCCYGGTTTTCTTCCTGTGCTGCATCTGCCTCTCTCCTTGTGACAGCAGCTGCCGTTTGGCCGTGCCGGAGGCGACGGTGGCTCCGTGGGCTCCGTGCGAGGCGCGGGAGCAGAGCAGGGCGCTCTTACGTGCCGAGCCGGGGCCGAGGTGACTCACGCTGCTCCAGCGCTCAGCCTTTGGGCAGGGATTACCCCAGAGTGGAACTTGTGAGGGCYTGTGCGCTCTCGCCGTGTCGTTCAATCACCTTTGTAAGACACGTGCACACATGGGACGATTTGCTTTATTCCYGTGTTATTTACGTATTTTGGCTGGCGCACAGAAGTGTTTCGTTGAAGGAGGCAGATCATGACCTCAGCGCAGTCCTTGCTTGCAGGGAGTTTTTGGGGAGGCTCTAGAGTGACCCCAAACTTGAAGCTTTCCTTTTGGGGGTATAAGCGAGCGATTGCTTAGATGTTTGGAGATTTGATGGCTGTGTGTTAGATCTTGCTCTGTCTTCTTTAAGATCTGTCTTCTTCTTCTTAAAGATCGACTTCTTTATAAAGAAACGTTAAATCTATTTCTTCGTAGCACAGGTGCTCAGCAAGGTATTTAACTTTATACGAGTGTATTGATCGATGGGCTGCAAAGAAACTGTAGGACTCCTGTTTTTTTTTTTTTCTTTTATAATACGCATTCTGCAAAATGCAACACTGTGTTAGTGTTGAATACAGAGTTTTAAATATGTGGAAAGGAAAAATTGCAGCCCTTGCAACATTTTAATGAGGAGGGTTTGCTTAATTAAAGCCTGAAAGACTTTGGGAATCCGGGCGGCCGGAGAGCGTAGCAGGTTGTTCCACCGACCGGGCGATTCAGGGGCAGGGCCTGAGTGGGCAATAAACAACGTGCCGGGGCCTCCGGTGAAGCTTGGGGAAAAAGGTGCCCACAGGAGGGTGGGTCTGACCCTCTGGGGCTGGATACATCCTCACAGAATCACAGAAGAGTTGAGGTTGGAAGGGACCTCTAGAGACCATCCAGTCCAACTCCCTGCTCCAGCAGGGACACCCAGAGCACGGGGCACAGGGCGGCATCCAGGTGGGTTTGGAGATCTCCAGAGAAGGAGACTCCACAACCTCCCTGGGCAGCCTGTGCCAGGGCTCTGGCACCATCACAGGGAAGAAGTTCCTCCTCACATGGAGATGGAACTGCCTGTGGTTCAACTTGTTCCCACTGCCCCTTGTCCTGTCACTGGCCACCACTGAGAAGAGCTTGGCTCCTTCCTCCCTACATTCTCCCCTCAGGTACTTGTACATGTTGATCAGATCCCCTCTCAACCTTCTCCAGGCTAAGCAGGCCCAGCTCCCTTAATCTTTCYTTATATGAGGGATGCTCCAGTCCCTCAATGCTCTTTGTTGCTCATCTTTGCTGTGTTCTCCGGAGGGGTGGCCGGCCTTGGCGCGGCCGCGGCTCCGGGARCAGCCAGTGCTCTCGGGGCTCCTTGGCAGCGCACGGCACCCCCTGGCACCCGGACCCGCCGAGTGGCACCCGGACCTCCCCTCCATGGCACGCCACCGTCTTCCCATTCCCCGTGATGTCTAAGCTTCATTTCCAGCCAGATTTTCAGTTTCTCATYGATTCCTTTTGGCTGCGTCCATCCAACCCACAGGGTTTCGGAGCCTTTCCCAGCCCCTCCTCACAGTCTCTCGCTCCCCCGCACTTCCCGGAGGTCGTGGGCGCCTCGTGGCGGCCTCGCTGCGAGCACATGGGGCTGCTTTTCCGCCCGCCCCYAGAGATGAGGCTTGAGAGGGCTGTACGTATGACAGGGTTGTGCCTAGGAGAGGGTTGTGCCTGCGAGAGGGTTGTGTCTGTCAGAGGGTTGTGCCGCGGGAGGAGACGCCCTCTGCTCTGAGGACGCTGCCTCCGAGACCCGAACCTGCGTTTTGGACCCCTGAGGGGACATCCCGCCGGGTTTTGCAGTCCCTCCTGAGAATCCATGTGTGTTTTCGCTATGAATCGTCCCACAGGCTATTCCCCACTCCAACCCYGCACCATGGGGGGAAGGAAAACAAGAGTGGGTTTCTTGTGGCCTCTGTGGTTTCTATTTTTATTTTTCCCTGAATTTATATGGTGGTGGAGAGATGGTCAAGGAAAAGGTGCCCCGTACTGATCCTGGTGCCCTGCAGGCCCAAGCGTTTCCTCCTCTTCCTGGCTGTTCTGGCTGCTCCTTGCTTGGTGCTCTCCATCCCCTCTCCCTGCAGAGCCCTACGGATGCTGTCCTGCCTCTCTCCACCTGTATCCAAATCTTCAAAGTATTTTAAGATGCTCAGATCCCAGAAAGTGCCCCAGAGCTGGCGCTTCTTAACCGACGTAGTTTATCCCGAAATCCCAGGCACAGCATAAGGACCGGCTCTCCCTTTCCCGGCAAGGCCATTCCCTTGGCACCGGCTGGCAGAGCGTCGCGGGCAGCATGGGAAAAGGCAAACAATGGGAGACTGGGAGATTTCCTTTTCCCACCCRTCGGCTTTTCCTGCGTTTTGGGGCTAATGTTGCTAATGCAGCTCGTGTGGGGAGGGAGCAGGATTTTCCCTGTCCCGTTTCGTGTGACAGCAAGGCAGGTTACTGAGAGGAGCAGTTTGTGTTCGTCTGCAAGCTGGTTTAGAGCAGCGTGTAACTAACCTGATACTAGATGAGGTTCTGTAATGGAGCTACGAGCAAGTTCCTTGTGCTTTGTCCCTGCCTGGCTGTGTTTCCTCATTCCTGTTTCCCATCATCCTACTCCTGGGATAAATAAAGACGTTCTGCTCCTCCTCCCCTGTCTGCGCCATCCCTGAAGGGTGTGAAACCAAGGAGTAGCCAGGGGCACGAGCTGCTTTTGGAGGCAGCTGGACATGGAGAGGCACCGGCTACACGGGATGCTCCGCAGATCYGGACAGGTCGGGGCCCTTTAGCTTAGTCCCGAGTTCCCTGAGCAGTGACGGGTAGGGAAGAATAGGAGCCTGGGGCGGACACGGAGAGCTGTTTGCCCCCTCTCCCTTGGTAATGTGTCCACTTCCCACTGTCGGGAATTGCCATCTTTCCCTCTCCGGTGGGATTTCAGGAGAGGGTTCCCCTTACCTAGCTGGAGGCATCTGCAGCACTGGGGTCCCTGTCTGTCCCGGTCACCCCATCTTCCTCCGGGACCCGGCAGAGAGGAGCCCGCGAGTCGGACGCGGTGTGCCGCCCTGCCAGGGAAAACCATCGTTTGCATGGCTCTGGATGCAAGTGGAATGCTGAYGCAGGGTTTTGAATAGGAAAGTGACAGCTCTCAGTTTAGAAAAACATGGAAATGGGGCTTTTTGACACATTCAAGACTGAAGGCTGGAAGAGTCATCAGAGCAGACCCGGGACTCGCGCAGAGCAATTTTATCCTGGATGAGCCCCGTTCCTAATGCTCCGCGTGGTACAGAGATGCTGCAGACGCCTCTAAGCTGATCGGTGCGTTCGATGGTTCGTGCCCCCATACACCCCTCAGGCCTCGGTGCCAGGGGGCTGCGGATACACATGAAGTGAAACCCTCCAAAACCTGCCCAGATTCTGGGCACCCATCTCCCGTCTTGCAAGCTGCCGCTCAAGTTGGATTGAAGCACAGGTCACCACCATCACCACCCTCTTCTGGGTGCCGGAYGAATACTCACCCACAGCTAACGCAGCAGTTTAGCACTGCTGGTGGCCCTAGCTGCAGTGTATTTCTTTGTTTTACCTTTGGACAAGGTAGAACATCTGCACAAGCGCAACGGCGGCCGCAGGGGAAGCGCCGGCTTCGCTCTCGGCTCCTGGAGCTGCTCTCGTGGCCGCGCTTGCCTCCCGCCCGCCGGGGACCCTGATTTACAGCTTTATTCTGCAGTTTCATTCAGCRTTTCAGAAATGCCCAGTGTTGTCCTTCAGAGAAGCATCAGGAACTGATTTAGGAATAGTCCGTCCCTCGCCGCGTTTGGGGAATTCTTTTATCCTCCTTTAGGAGCAGGCCTTGCATCCCAGCGTTGGCCTATTGGAAATAATGGCTTTCCCTGTAGCAGACAGTGGTTGTTTTAGCTGTCCYTTAGAAGCCTTCCCCTCTGCTTTGTGGCTCCCGCTTCCCTTGGCGCTCCCATTCCCGCTTCCTGCTTCCCGYTACACTTGCTCTGCCGCTGCCGTCGCGCCCCACGGCCGAGGAGGAGGAGGAGGAGGAAGGTGGGTCGGGGCAGCCCTCGGTGGCCCCTGTGCGCTGGGCCAGGGCACCGTGTGGCTCTGCACCACAAAGTGTGGRCTTGTAAAAGCTGGAGGAAAATGGGAAGGAAAAAAATGACAACGAGCAAAATCTCCTCCTCCAGCATAAATACAGGGGATTTTTTTCTGGTTCTCTGCTTGCAGAAGCCTGTTTTTTAAGGCATTGGAAGCACAGGGTTTTAAACACTGTTAAAACACCAGTTTTAAACAAATCCTGTCCTGCTTCATTACTAGTGGAAGTCCAGTACATCCCATATTTGCATTGTCAACTGCTGAAAAGTTGGGTAGATAAATATCTGTTTGAGAGCCTCATAGATATTGCTGAGCATGGTGCTAGTATAAAGCAAGCTTTCCTAAACCCCCTTGGGTGAGAGAGGAGTGGGTGACACAAGTGCTGTGCTAAACGTGTCTGCTTTTTGTTTTGTTCCAAGGATGAAGAAGAAGAAATCAAACTGGAGATTAAYATGCTGAAGAAATACTCTCACCACAGAAACATCGCAACCTATTACGGTGCTTTCATTAAGAAGAGTCCCCCAGGACATGATGACCAGCTGTGGGTAAGCAGAGATTCTCAAGCGTGCCTTTGCCTTTGGGATGTCCTTTGGGGTGGGAGAAATAGCATGTTATGGAAAGACAAATCACTGGAATTTGGTGCTTGTCTAAGCAGGGAAGTGAATGGCATAGGTACATTGTGTGTCCTGGAGAGAAAGGCTGAGCTAAGGTTTGTTATTAGCAGTTGATTTGCTCTTTAAGATGTTTTTCCTCATTTCCCTAATGGATAGTGAACATGTTTCATGGGAGCAAGGCAGATAAGCTGAGCAGTAAGAATGTGGCTGTAAAAATAAAACTGCACTTGAAAATTTTCCTCATGACAGTTCTCATCGCATCTGTACCCTTGGAGGATTGAAGTTTGGTTTGAAATGGCATCTTACAGGCACCACTGGATGTTCTTGCCTGCCGTAAATATGTGAGGGTGGTAAATAAGATGTGTKGCAGTGGTGTGATCAGTTTGATTCCTTCACCATCACATGTGTGCTGTATTGTGAGTACTACCAGTGCACTTAGCCGAGCAAATCCAGATTCCCAGCGTTAAATTACAGTGATTAAAACAGTTCTTGAAAAAGTGGTAACTGATGTGAGGCATACCTCGGGTATGCTTGCCAAGCAGAGAATCAAAGAATCAGAGAATGTTTGAGGTTGGAAGGGACCTCCAGAGATCATCTGCGGAGGAAGGAGCCTCCACAGCCTCCCTGGGCAGCCTGTGCCGGGGCTCTGTCAGGATCCTTCACATTGATTCCAGGATCAGGATCCTTGGAGCTTGTTGGGCAATGGACACACATGCAGTCAGTCATAAGCTCAAACTCTACAACCTCCGAGTAGCTAAACTCGGGACTTAGAGGAAAGCTTTTTTTTCCCCCTATATTCACATACATTTATCTATATTTACATACATATTCATATCTTTTTTCCTATATTCAGGTACAGCACCTGAAGGACACCCTTTGGACAGCAAAGCGAACCAGTCATTGATTTAGTGGATTGCTTTTGCTAAGCTCCCCAGTGAGGAGGGAGTAAACACAGGCCTTTTTAAGAGTTACTCCCTGTATAGCTTCTTTTTTATTTAAGAYTATATCCTGGGCTTTGTGAGGGCCTTCCAAAGCGCTGCTGCTCCCTGCTTGTTTTGCTTCTCCGGGCAGCTGTGAACTGAATGCTCTTGCTTGCTCTGCAGCTTGTCATGGAGTTTTGTGGAGCAGGCTCTATCACTGACCTCGTGAAGAACACGAAGGGGAATACTCTGAAAGAAGACTGGATAGCCTATATCTCCAGAGAGATTCTCCGGGTAAGGAAAACCGCCCCTTGCACCTGCAAATACAGCAGCAATCTTACAGAGGTTCTGCAGGAAATTGGGGGTTCTGCAGGAAATTGTGCCTGGCCAGGTCCTAAATTCAGCCCCACCATGGTGTGAAGAGTGTGTAAGAGGACGTGGATGGCAGCAACCCTGGGGCGTGAGAAGCCAGCGCAGGCACCCCCGCCCTTACGTTTGGGGGCTGAGAGGCAGCGTCCCTGTGTCCCCGAGGCTGCGGGGGGAGCACAGCAGAGCGGGGCGCCCGGGCCCTTCCGCAGCCGGGCTGGGCAGGGGTTTCTCTCCGGGGCCGGTGCCGTGTGTGGGACGGGGCTGCTGGCCCGGGCGGCGGGAGCCGCTGTGCCGGGGGAGCTCCCGGCGCGTTCCTGCAGCCTGGAGCCGACAGCCGCGCTGCCCCCGTGCTGCCCGGGAGCGCTCCGCACGAGGAGGGTGCCCCTTCGAGGCCGCCTTTTGGAAAAAGTGGGGCTTTGGCTAATTACTCTCCATATTGGATTTCCAGTTGGTTACAGTGCTTTCTGGATTGGCATTTGTTGGCTGTGCTGAGTAAATGTGAGATGGTTTTCCTCGTGCTTCTTTGTAAAACAAATTGTCTCCTACCTGTGCCATCACACAGTGTGTCTATTCCAGTGCCTCATCATCAGTGAAGTCCTAAAGGTTTTGTATTAAAGGAAACCATTGGTGGCTCTTCACATAAATGAGTGCTTCCCAGAATCACAGAGTGGCTGAGGTTGGAAGGGGCCTTCCTGAGACCATCCAGTCCAACCCCCTGCTCCAGCAGGGACACCCGGAGCACGGGGCACAGGGCAGCATCCAGACAGGTCTGGAGACCTCCAGAGAAGGAGACTCCACAGCCTCCCTGGGCAGCCTGTGCCAGGGCTCTGGCACGCTCAGCCCTGTGCTCCTGTTGTCTGCATTGCCCATTTGTTCGCTCTCGCGATTTCTGAGATCATGAGGGAGGGAGATGCCCAGCTGTGGGCTCCTGTCCCCCCCTCCAAACGCCAGCAGGGAGTTCTGCTGCCCCTGGCATTAGGGCTGGCCCACTTGGAGCTGCTGGCAGGCRGGGAAGTTGCTGCCGTGAGCACCGAGCGATGGCTGTGTCTCCAGTGGGTGCGTGGYGTGGGTTTGTGTTAGCCAAGCCAGCTCGTGCAGTGCCGGCCTCRTGCTTGCCTTGGGAACACGTGTGCCCCCTCGGATGCATTGTGGGCCCTGCTGCCCTTGCCCTGAGTTCCCCTGAAGCCAGGAGGGAGAGTCAGTGCGGGCTGAGAGGAGGAAAAAAAATCAGGCACCCTTGAACAGAGTCCTCTGCGAGCAGCTTTCTCCCGCTTGCTGGACCTTTTCAAAAAAGCAGCCCTAATTGCTTGCTAGCAGGAACTGGAATACCTGGGAAAAAAAAACGRAAAAAGGCTGAATTCCCACGGGTACGAGGCGCTGCAGAACGTGCTGTGACACGGAGCTCGTGTCGGAGGCGCATGGAGAGGCTGTGGAGCGGAGCGGAGGGCAGGGGAGCCGAGGTGCCCGGGACGCCCGCGGGCCGAGGCCCCCGTGGGAGTGGGTCCAGCACCAGGGGCTGTGGAAGAATTGAGCCCCCCTCCAGGGGGTCGTGAGCCCCCCTCTCTTCCTGACTCTTCACAAGCCCGAACGAACCATCTTTTTCTTCCCAGCTGGATGAGATCGTTCTCTGGAGASAATGTATGAGCGTACGATTCTCTTCCTGGCAGGGCCGGCGGAGCATAAGGTGTTAGGAAGTGTCCTGTGTGAAGCCGGGGAAAAGCCTCTGTTCCTGCAAGAAAATCCGGCCGCGCTTGGCGTTAGCGGCCGGTGCCTGGCACCGAGGCCGTTGCGTGCTGCTGTTGCTGCCCCGTGGCGTGCGCGGGGAGGAGCTGCAGCCTCYGCTGCGTGTCACGCGCGCTGGCTGTATTTAAAATAAAAGAAAATAGCCCAACGGTTATGAAGGCAAACTGGCAAACGACCGTTTAATGGAGAACACGTGTTAGCAAATATCTCTCTGCAGCAGCCACTGCGCCCTTAACCTCTTACAGCTGTAAAGGGTCCGTGTCTTTATTTTCCACAAAACACTAAAAGCCCTTGAGGGCGACAGGGATGGGCAAGGCGATCCCGCTGGAGACGGCGCTTTCCCGAGCAGCGGGAGCAGAGCCCAGGCAGTTGTTCTGCCGGGACGTTGTGGGGGAAAGGCCCCACGTGTGGGCCTGTAGCCCTGCGCAGGGCTGGGGCAGGCGTCCGGGTGCTGTCCCCACAGCGAGCCCCGTGTGCCGGCGGGTTCTGCTGCCTTTGGGAATGGTTCCGCGCTCCTGCGCTTCTGCCTGGGACGTGGTCRCTGCCGAGGAGCCGCCGTATTTATGGCACCCGTGGAAGGGCAGCTGTGCCAGGGAGCTCCTGTTTTGCTCTCTTTGCTGTCCCCTGGCCCTCAGGTGGAAACACGGGCCCCTCGGCCRGCCCTGCTGAGGGGCCCGAGGCTTGAGCCCCCTCGTGACCTGTGGGGGGAAGGGTTGYGGGGAGCCCCGTGGGGCGCTAACCATGTGTCACCCCTCCTCTCCTGTCCATGGTGCAGGGGCTGGCGCATCTTCACGCCCACCACGTGATTCACAGGGACATCAAGGGGCAAAACGTGCTGCTGACGGAGAACGCAGAGGTGAAGCTCGGTGAGTAGGCGAGCGCCTCCCATCCCGCTTCCCAGAGCCCCCTTCCATGACCCGGCTTCCTGCGTGTTCCCGTTATGCTGGGGCTGCCCGTGGTGGGGCTCACTCCTTTATTTAACACTGGTTAAACAGCCGTGTGCTATTCAGGCCCTGGACACACATATGGGATCGGGGCAGCCCCCTCAGTGAAGCGGTAGTGTGAAGATGGAAGTACAATTCCTGCCCAGGAATGCCTGCTGGGAACGACTCTCCTGTTCCCTGGCCTGTTGCTGCCCCTGTCCCTCCCAAGGGGACGAGCTCTTTTCCCTGATGTGTCTCCTGTGGCGGCTGCGCCCCTCACCCCGGCACTGCACCCGCCGCTCACACGGAGACGAGCGCTGCAGCCCCCTGCGCAGCCCACGCGCAGGGCAGTGTGGGCTCCGGCCCCCGGGAGGAGGCTCTGCGAGAGCTTTCCCCGCTACACGCTTGCCCTGGAGCAGGGAGCCCCTGGAGCTGCATCGTGCCGATGCCGGAGCCCGTGGAGCCGCTGCCGCCCTCGCTGCAGCGAGGCTGGTCGAGCAGAGCCCCCCTGCAGCACGAGCGGCACCTTCGAGAGGTGCCGTGTCCCTCTGCACACGTAAATTTTCTTGGCTCCAGCATTCCCACGTGCCCTCCAAGACAGTAGTTCTGCAGCTGAGCTGTCCTTGTGGGGAAGGGGAAGCTGTAGGGGCAGCCAGGGAGAGGTGCAGAGGAGGTGGCCGTTGCCGCTCCGCTCCTTGACTCTGGTGGCCTGAGCGCATTGCACGTGAAACCCGGACACTCGGCTGCCTTGGGATTAATCACTGTGTTTCTCCTCAGCATGCTCTCCCACAAGGAGCATGGGCCTGGCTTTATTTCCAAATCGTCTGACTGAAGTAACCGCTGCGTGTGTTTTTCCCCTCTCATTTTATGTTAATCTTCTTTCCTGCCTGCAGTGGATTTTGGTGTGAGCGCTCAGCTGGACAGGACAGTTGGTCGGAGAAACACATTCATTGGGACTCCGTACTGGATGGCTCCAGAAGTCATTGCCTGTGATGAGAATCCAGATGCTACGTATGATTACAGAGTAAGCGTCCTGTTTGCAGAGTAAAACAGGTTGCCCTTGTGGTATGAATGGCCCAGGATGGTGGCAGGTTTTGAGGCTTCTCATTGTTTGTAAGAATTGATTTATTTGGTACAAGTGCGTTCTTGTGCGGGAGGAAGGGTGAGGGTCAATGCCAGGCCTTGTCCTCTCACACTCCTTGAGTCACTGTAGTGGCTGGGCATAAGGAGGAGCACTCAGAAAAGATGACCAGAAAAGAAGAGTTTTATCTGGAGATGCTGATAGTCTCAATTTGTATGAAGTTTGTACTTTAAGTTGTGTTTGAATATGTCCTAGTTACGGCACTAATTCAGAACAATTCATTTTAGGTGTTGCCTTAAATAGAACTGCTGTCTGGTGAGTTAGTGCAGAGGGAACTGTTCATACTGTGCCTGTTCCTGATTTGGGGACGCTATGTAAATGTTGGTAAAGATTCATCCATCTCAGTATTTCTTAGCAAAGATTTCTTTTTTTTTACATAGTGAGCTGCAAACCAAAGACCTAATTATTGCAAAACCATAATTGGCTTGATGGTATTTGCAGTAGCCCGAGAATGTTACATATATATATATATGTTTAAAGCTATATTTCCCTAATAAAAGCATTTTGAAACCTTCTCAATGCCTATTAGCTTGCTTGTATAAAAGCACAAATGAGGAAAAAATGGTGAAGATGTGCTTTATAAAATCCTCACTTCAATTTCTGCAGCTATTCCAAATTTTACCCAGGCAAGGCAGTGAGGATATCAGAAACCCTCAGATTAAGCCCTTACCATGAGTGCAGTGTGCTGACGTTGACAGTGATGTCTGTCATCAGTGTGTTTGGGAAGGTCTAAATTGCCAGGTGATTGGAACTGGTGTTTTTCCACCTTTGACTAAGATTAAGCCTCTAGATTTCTTGAGTTTTCTCTATAATTCTCTAGATTCTAGAGAAATTCTTTAGGTTTCTTTAGATTTAATGKTGTTTTACATGCTATGCTCATTTTAAACCTTTGCAAGATGGAGTTATTAAGAAGGACTGGAGACTTGAAAGGAAAAAAAAACAAATATATTTGTTAATGCAGTAGAAAGAAATTCTTTCAGTCTGAACCCACTTGTTCTTTGTTTCTGGGGGACCTGTAGGGATTGGAGTAGTTGTCCTTTCTCCATCCTGTGCAGTTTATCTTGAATGAGTGGATTGGACCAAGAGAAATTATTGCCCTTCTGCATCTGAAAACGCACTTGGCAAGCCATTAGAAATGCTTCGCTGCCCCTAGTACAGGCAGCTTGTTACTCGTTACCCTTCACTTCTTAATCATTATCATCATTAGCCTGGCAGAAAAGAGCGCTGCTTCTCTCGAGAGCAGTTACCTCTTCTCAGAAGAGCGGCCTGGAGGGTCCTCTGAGCAGCCCCCTCCAGCACTGCCCCCGAGGCCATGGAGGTCTCCTGGTTTTGCTCCTCGCTTGCCTGCCTGTCGTTCAGCAGCGAGCGCAGGTAGCTGATGGCTGGGGCAGGATCCAGAGGGAAGGTCTTGAGGGGCTTCTGTGGAAGGGTTCTTCTTCTGCACTGTCATCTCCAACGAAGCTGAGAGAGTTGGGAAGGAGCATTTGGAGGACCACAAGTATCCTGCAAAACAGAGTCTCCTTACAAGTTTGGCAGTGATGGTTATTTCCCTATAAAAAGCTCCTAGTTGATTTTTGGGAATAGAAAATRTTTGGCAGTATAGTCCGCTAATTTSTGCTTCTTTATATTTAGRCCCTGAAAAAGGCATACTTGTGTGTGTGTGTGCAAATGCATTTGTCTCTATATGTATGATATTAGAAGTATCCTTTTCTGTTACTGTTAGAAGAAAAAGTAAAGATAAGCTACTCAGTTAGCAGCTTACACTGTTTACACAGCCGTGGCATTAGGTTTCAGTCTCGCCTACAGGGCCCCTGCAAATACTGCACTGTTTTACTGCCCGGGTGGGGAATGTAGCTGCTAACATCTGGTCTCTTGTCTCTTTGTGCAGAGTGACCTTTGGTCGTGCGGCATCACGGCCATCGAGATGGCAGAAGGAGCTCCCCGTAAGTGACGYGTCTGCTCTGAGGAACCGAAACATGCACTTAAGAGATGCTGGTTGTAATCTAAGCCTGGCCTTGAGGTTTCTGGAAGTGTCCTGTTGTTATTTCTGCTCTCTTGGGGTTTGCCTGCGCTATAAATATAAAATCCCATAAATAGCAATGCTTTYGATAGAGATAAGAGAGTGTTTAAGCACTACCATGCAGTAATTTCGTTTTGCTAGTCTGAACTTGGAAGCTAATAGAGCTGGAAACATCCTGCCTATAAATATGCTGTGGTTTGGGACTGCATCCCAGTTTGTCTATGGCCTGCCTGAAACATTGGCACCTCAGCTGGGGAGAGGTGCAGAGGGGTATCTAGAAAATAGACTGCATGAAAAACACTCCTCTAGCACTCTTTTCTAGGCTCATTTTCCAGCAGTGTGTGTGATGGTAACATTACTACTACTTCTGTTTCAGCTCCTCACGGAGGGTGTTGGTCTTGCTTAGGAATCATGTGACTTAAACTGTAAATCCATCTTTGGTGCAGAGTTTTGAACCAATTAGTGGTCACTATTGAGAATATTCMGGATATCTTGAAGGAAACCTGAAAAGCAAAAACATGGAACTGTGTAGCTTTTTCTTCCCCTCACATACTTGTTCCTTCTGAATAATGGAGCTTAGGGACGATATTTTTGAGGAGGAAAGGAGGACTTACAAACCGAACAGAAATGATACATGTTCTGTTTTTTTAATGTTAGTGAAAATCTTTATTAGTGAAAAGGCAAATACACTTTCCCCCATTCCCTGAGCAACCTCAGAGTGAGATAGTTAATACATTTTCTTGCACATGAGCAAAATGATCCCCCCAACTCAAAAGTCCATCTTGAAAACACTCTTTGAAGTTGTTGGGTTGAGAATGAGGTATTGACATCTTCCTGTCTGGAAAAAGGGCATTTCATTGCAGCCTCTGACTGCTTTTGCTTGTTTGTTTTTAAATACCAAATTGATAAAATGAAGTACAATGTTTTGATTCATTTTTAGAAGGTTGGGTGGTTTGATTTTTTTATATTTCYCTCCTCTCCATCCTTCCTAATTTCACATTTGCCTGGGTGCCCAGACGAGGGCTGCTCCCTGGGCACTTCACCTAGCTCTATATTAACAGTATTTGAGCTGCCACTTGGCCTCCTTTCAGTCTTACTTTCCSTGCTCGGAACATTGCGCTGCTGGGCTGGCTCCCAATTGAAAGCCCCATCACTGGGGTTTGCAAGCCTGGAATGGGGCAGTCACATTTTTTTCCTTTGCAAGTGGAAGCAGAGGTTCTGACTTGGCCTCTCCTAGTGTCCAAATCCTGGGAGCAGCTTCCAGGAAGCAAGCAGAGGATCACTGCACATCCTAAACTGCTCTCACCTATTAATGCAGGCCYGCTTTAAGGCAGAGCCTTCATTGGTGTTAACCCAGCAGGTCCTGGAATAAAGAAAAACTTCCCGAGTTTGGAGAGCGGCAGGAGCAGATGTCCTGCTCCATTTGTGTAATGGGAGAGGAGGGCAGGCAAAGCAAATGAATTTGTATGAGATGGGGACTGTGTCGTTTTTCCCACCTGCCATGATCTTTTCCAGGCATCATCTTAAACAAAACATAAGCTGGATGACTTGGAGGTGGAGGATGGCTGGTACAAACCTTCCTACCAGGGCTGATTCCACAGCCCAACCTGTGCCGTGACTTCTTCWCTTTTGGGGCCCCACTTCCCCCATGGAGCTGGGCAATTGCTGCCATTTCATTTCATGAGTTACATTCCCAGCTCTATGTGCTCTATAAGCGGTTGGGTTTGGCGGGGATGCTCGCGGCAGCTGAAGCCGCGGTCACTGTCTTGAGAAGACAGAGCGCAACGAAGCCAATGTCTCTTTGTTTGTGTTTGGTTTTTGTCTTCTTTCCTTCAGCACTCTGTGACATGCATCCCATGAGAGCGCTCTTTCTGATACCCAGGAATCCTCCCCCGCGGTTAAAATCCAAGAAATGGTACGTAGAACTTGCTGCTTTCTAAGCCCTTTCCGTGTCACGATGCTTCCCTGCGTTTCACAGCRTGCTGCTTCGTTACTGCTGCCGCAGAGCTGTGAAGTGGTTGAAGTTGGCTAAAATCAATCAGTCTGTTGTTGTCTTCTGTGCCATTGAATCCAGGCATAAAATAAAATAAAAAAGTGTGCATTGATTATTTGAGCTCTGTTTACCCCATAGAAATTTTATCTTTSAATCCTGGGAATATTAAAAAAAAACAAGCTTTTTTTTCTTGACAGAACAGCATTAAGTTGCAAATACTCCCCATTAAAAAAAAAAAAAAAACTCCTGCAGCATTCTTAATATGCAGATTTTTAGGATAATAAAGAGACCGAACAGTGCTATAGTGTTCTAGTTGTTAARTTGAAAGGAGCTATTAAAACTAATGAAGGCTTTTACTATAATTATTGTAAATGATTGAAATTGAGTGTGCACTTCTTGCCAGCTGAGAAGAATCCATTAGTATCGAAGGGTTTCCTCCCAGTTACTGGTTACAACGGGTGGGTWTGAAACAAAACGATTCCCTAGAAAGAGGTTTCGCCTAGATTGATTGTGATCGCAGGATGCTGTGAACCTGTCAAAATAATGAAGCAAAGTGGCTGCTTATTCAGTATCAACATAATAGAAGTTGTGGCTTGCTGCTGGGCTTGGCGCTTGCCTGGATTGGCCTATTTATGCACGGGTGTCTGTCAGGGCCTCATTTTCCCTCTCGCACACTCRCTTTCTGCATATATTAAAGGGCAGAATTGCATTTAAGGCTGAGAGAGCTGGGCCTGTTCAGCCTGAAAAAGAGAGGGCTGAGAGGGGACCTGATCGGTGTCTATAAATACCTCAAAGGAGGGAATGAGGAGGATGGGGCGGCCTCTTTTCAGTGGTGGCTACAGAYAGGACTAGAGGAAACGGCCACAAACTGAAGCACCAAAAGTCCCACAGGAACTTAAGGAAAAATTTCTTAACAGTGAGGGTGACAGAGCCCCGGAACAGGCTGYCCAGAGAGTCTGTGGAGTCTCCTTCTCTGGAGATCTTTAAAACCCGCTTAGACGCTGCCCTGTGCCACGTGCTCTAGGTGACCCTGCGTGWGCRGGGGGGTTGGACTGGAGGACCTCTAAAGTTCCCTTCCAACCTTAATGATTCTATGATTCTGTGTATAGTATTTGCGTGTACCTTTCTTGCATCTTTTTTTCTTCGAAGCATAACATGGGGTATAGAGAATAACAGAAGTCGGCAAGGCTACCTTGAATTTAACTATGCAGGTTTCAATAAGAAAATGGAGGTGAAAACCATTTTGGTTTTGTTTTACACCTATCCATGCAGTGGTGGTGGTCGCTGCCCAAGGATGGCGGCAGTTGGGGGGCGTCTAACGATCAGAAAGGGAATGTGGCCGCAGCCAAGGCCGCTGCTTCAGCCATGTTCCCTGAGGAAAGAGTTTGTGAGCAAACAGGCCCGAGGGAGAAAAGCACAGGTCTGAATGTTGGTGCTACTGYTGTGCTGCTCCCTGGATGGTTTTCCTTTGRAAAGTTTTCTGCTTAGACGGGTGTTTCTCACACATCCCGCCTCATGTGAGCCCCGGTGAGCGCTGCGAGCCCCTGTGTGAGGCTACCCGGGTGAGAAGGAAAATGGCCGCTGCGGCCTGCGGCGAAGGTGGCGCCTGCGCCAGCCGAAGGGTGTTGGCCATTCCATGGCTTTCCTGCCACCTGCCCTCATGAAGCTGGGACAGGCGATCCCTTGGCTTTCCCGCCGCCTCCCCTCACGGAGCCGTGAGGGCAGGCGACGGGAAAGCCCTGAGCCAGCAGCAGAGCAGGAGCGAGCGCCGGCCCCGTTTGCCATCCCGCTCTTTCAGGCAGCGCTCGGATCCTTCTGGAGCACGCTGCCCTCGGAAGGGAGCTACCTTTGAAAACCTGTCGGAGCTGTGATTTTGTTTTACTTTGTTTCATCTTCCCCTGCCTGCTTTCTCAGGTCRAAAAAGTTCTTCAGCTTTATAGAAGGTTGTCTCGTGAAGAATTATATGCAGCGACCTTCTACGGAGCAGCTTCTGAAGCATCCGTTCATACGTGACCAACCGAACGAAAGGCAAGTCCGAATCCAGCTCAAGGACCATATAGACAGGACAAGAAAGAAGAGAGGAGAGAAAGGTACACAGTTTCTAAAAGCCTTTTAAAGACTTACTAAAAATCTATGTACTTCTGCCCTGCTCTGCCTTCCAAATCATCTCCCCGCAGAACACTGAGTGCTCAAACCATTAAAAGTTTCTTTTTTAATTCTTATTTTGGCTATCAGCAGGCTTGTATGTTTTGTTCTTTCTGAATAGGATATCTGAATTGCAAGTGTCTTATTTTCAGATGAAATTACTCTCTTCCAGGCAACCATTAAGCAGTGTTTAGGAGGGTATTGGCAGATCCCTCCCTTCTTTTCTTTTGCCTTGTGGCAGGTTCTTTCCTGGAGTGAGGCCATCAGTTAGGCTCACACACAGAAATAACCCATCACAAGAGCTATGGAGCCAATGTCCGGGGCAGCCTGCCCTCTTTATTCAGGTGGCCTGGAGGTTTTCCAAGCAGCAGCTGGTCATAGACTGAAAACATGGTGTCGTTCAGGGATCTTGCTGGAAGTCTGCAGGAAAGCACTTCACTGCATTATGTGTCTGGGAAAGTGTGCCGGGATATGTGGGATAAGCCCTAGGGTCGGAGGGGAATCTTGTCTCTGCAGGGGCTGGGAAGAGGTTGATGACTGTGCTAGTACGAGCTCCGCGTCATGAAATGTGGAGATAGGCACTGCTCAGGCCACTGTTTTCTTTCCTGCTAGATGAGACGGAATATGAATACAGTGGAAGTGAGGAAGAAGAGGAGGAAGTGCCTGAACAAGAAGGAGAGCCGAGGTAACAACTGCGGGTTGGAGGGCTCTGGGCAGTCCACATGAGCAAATCCAAACATCTGTGACTGTAAACCAGGAGCATTCTCAATTTGTGTCTTGTCTCAAGCGTGGCATTAGCCACACAAACCCTACCATCCATAGGTCTCAATGCCTATTCTGTGGCTGCTACAAGTTTTAAAGCTTCCCCTCTCATGGCTTAGTGCCCGGAGAGTTCTGGATGGAGGAATATTTAGAGCAGATGTGACTGGGCAGGGGGTTCTGGTTGGGGGCTCCAAAATGTCCAAGTTGGTCCTTGCTTTGCTTGGCTTCATTTCACACCTTCCACTGAGAGCATCTGTTTGATATGTACCCAGCGTCTTCTGAACTGACTGAAAGAAATGACATGAAAATGTAAAGAAACAGTGTACTTTATTAATGTACCCTCTGCTTTGGGGGAAAAAAAGGAAGTATTTAATGACCCATGGAGCTTTATTGTAAGGGACGCTTAAACTTCCTCTTGTTGCAGTTCCATTGTCAACGTGCCTGGAGAATCAACCCTCCGACGTGATTTCCTGCGGCTGCAGCAGGAAAACAAGGAGCGGTCGGAGGCCCTTCGGAGGCAGCAGCTGCTGCAGGAGCAGCAGCTCCGCGAGCAGGAGGAGTACAAGAGGCAGCTGCTGGCTGAGCGGCAGAAGCGCATTGARCAGCAGAAGGAGCAGAGGAGACGGCTCGAAGAGGTAGAAGCAAAAAGGCTGGAGCTCGGGAGGCAGCGGCCCCTTTTCCAGTCGTTTGGGGTCTTTTTCCTCTTTTCCTCCCATTCCCACACCCACTTGTAAAAAGCTCCCTGTAGTCTAAGCACATCTTGAGGAAGAAAACAACCCGTACAACTCCCTTGGCAAACGTGAAGCAAAGCACTTAAATCCACGTCTGGCTACTTAAATATGAGCAGCCTCCTACAGCACAGAGTATCCAGCAGCTCCTGTGCAGTTCGTGGCAGCCAAGGCCTGCTTGTTTGAAGGCACTGGGGGGGAGCCTGAGTCTTGGTCCCCCTTCAAAAGAAGAGGCAACAAGTCTAGACTTTTGGGTAGCTGTACAGAAGGGGAGACATTAATTATTCCCACATGATTTTTTTTTTAAAGTGGGCAGTGTCCCAAGATGACTTTTTTGAGTCCATTATGTGCCTAGAATTTCACTTGAAAGCTTTCACAAACATCTGTGTTTGGCACTCGATCATGRTAGGTGAAAGCCTATTTTTTGATGTATTACTCTTTCATCCATAGTAGCCTGATGAATAACCTTCCCCCCAGATTTATAGATAAGAAATATAATTTATACACCTGTGAAAAAAAATACAGTTATGTAAAATTTTCAAAAGTAAATCATACCCTTGTGATATGGTAAATGTGCAGTTTGCATACACCACCTGAAGGATTAAAAAGAAAATCAGAAAATGTACATGCACAGTATTACTTTGCCCTAGTTTTGGTACAATCTTGTGTGTTTTTAGGTATATATATACGCCTAGAAAATGCAGTGCAAGTTTCAGGGGCAGAAAGATTTCAAAACAGTTTTGCAGGCCCAAAGTGGATAGTAGAGCTAAAGTGAAACCAGTCATCTGGCTCTGCAGGAAGCACAGGGTCACATTCCAGTTGTCCTTACACGACCTCTGCTCTTGGAGTTGCTGTTTCAACTGTTCACTCAGSAATGATGGAAAAACTACGCCCAGCCTGGTTTTCCAAACGCTTAATGAGGACATGATGAGGACCAATACTGCTGTGCATCCCAACGTGAAATTTCACGTGCTGTGTTGGTGTAATAACTAATGCACAGCTCTGGATACCCCTTTGCTCCATATTCAGGTCCTTTTGACGCATATTCCAGTCCTTTCCAGCACACAAGCAAAGGCAGAAGGCGGACCTGGAAGCGGCAGCCCAGGAGCAGGCGGTGGGACAGGCTGCAAAGCCCGGCACGCTCGGGTTTCTTCCCCTCCCTTCGGCGGCTGCCAAGACCAACATCGCTGCTCTTGCAGCTGCCGGGCCTGGTTTTAGGCTCTGGCTCTGCAGCCGTTTGGGGGGCGGAAGGAAGGTGACAAAATGAGGCCGGACAAGGTTAACATGGGACAATAGGAAAGCAGTGTTTTAGTGTTGTGAAAGGCAAACAAGAGTTGTGGTTTAGCCTCTAAAATTTTGSTTGGTGTGGAGAGAGTTTTACTGAATGTCTGTGTGATTGCTAAGGTTCCTCAGGGGGATTTTTTTTTTTTTTGGCACGGAAGGGGATTAAGATTAAATTATCTAGCTTGTTTGTCTTCAGTGATCACTTCAATCAATTCAATCAGTGATCATTTCAGTTCGAAGAATCACTTGCAATTCTGGAATTTCTGTTTAAAACCAAGGAGACGCTGCTGGTAATAATGGCAACAAAAAATGCATCTCTTTGCCGAGGGTGGAAAATCAGCTTTTGGAATGTGGCAGAAATGCTAACCTAATGAGCAATTAAAAAGCATGCAGAGTTACCTGCAAGTTTAATCCGTCCTGCTGCCCCTGTAAATACAAATTGGAGCAAGAGCTTTAGCAGCCACAAGGCAGTGCCCACTGTAGCTTGATGTATTAGTGACTAAAGCCATAGAAGCCTGTAGAGTTTGAAAGAGAAAACCTTTTGTCTCTTCTTGAACCTGTAACCTCTGCCTGCTTCCCACAGAGATGTTGCTGTGGCTGATGAGCTATCAAGTTTCCCTTCTACAGGGCTGGGGGAATGTTCTTCRTAAAGGAAATGATATTTTTTAGAAAAAGGAAAAAAACCCTCACAGTGTCTCACATCCACCAGTTAATTACATTTAATGCCTCGGATTTTTTGTTGGAAAATGTATGATCCCCAGTGATGCTCCCTAAAGAGCTGCCAAGGCAAAGTCCCTTGAAGGGGGAAGGGCGACAGAGGCACCTCTAGATAACATCAGAGCTGTGACACAGTTGCAGGCCACAGTAGTGAAATGTTGTCACCCTGTCCCTGACTCACCCCCTTGCTGATGAAGCCAGTAAACAGGGGAAGCTTCCTGATAGGGGTCAGATTAGCACCGGCTTTTGCATCTCCCTTCTGTTTGATGAAGCTTTTTCCAGGTGTGGCTCTCTCTCATACTTGCTTGTATGGAGTAAGTGTGTGGTTTGGTTAACGTGTTGGACATACTTTAAGAAGAACTCTCTGCGTTAGATAATCACCCTGGACAACTTGCTTATCCCCCCTTCCTCCCTCCTCCCTCCTGTCCCCTTCCTAAATGAAAATCGAGGGCTTGTTCCTACAATGCTGGCACAGAGCCTAGACAGTTTTGACTGAGACTGCTGCGGGAACGGTGTTTAGGACAGCTGCCAGGAACTGGGTAATTCTCAGCAGTATTAGAGAAAAGGTTACTTTTCTTTTTTTTCTTTTTTTTTTTAGCACATGCAGGTGACTATCAAAGGCTGTTGTTGCAGGGACCTTATAATTCTTGTGTTACATAAGAGGCAGAAGGCGTACGTGGTCAAAGTGCAGAAAATCATTTGAAACCCTCAGGAAGGGGGTTGCTCCCTCTTCCCCTCCTTTCTTTTTTGAACCAGAGTAAAGGTTAACTGCATAAATATCAGCTGTACAACTTAAAGTACTCCAGATGGTTGAAACAAGAAATCAGAGCTGTGCTAGGCGGTTCTAATGTGTTTCTGCTCAGCAAAAGGCAGATGCTGGTGCTCAGCGTGACAGGTACGGAAAGGCAAATGGGAATATGCACTTTGCAGCAATCAGCCTGGTTTGGCAAGTGCAGAATTAGCACCGTGTGCTAATCGYGCTCTGTGTGGAGCCCCTCAATCCTGGGCAGTTGGCTTCAATACTATCACTGTTCCTGGTTAGAGCCACCTAAGATGGGTGTCTCTGAAGTGCTAGGGATAGAAGCCTGTTTGCGAGGAGTGTGGCCCAGCAGGAACGGATTTACAGGCCATGAACGATTGAGGTGCTGGGGTCCAGACACTTCCCTACCTGTGTCTGAGGACAGGAGTTGTTGCCCTGCGTGAGCTGCGAGCTCCAGCGTGCGCCTGCTTGGAGTTGCAGTGTATCTGCCCTCTTGCTTCCCTCCCCGAGGAGTGGCCGGCCCTCCACGGCCGCCTCAAAGCGTGAAACAAGACCTGCTGAGCGGAGATGAGCGGGTGACGCGCGTGGAAGGAGCACCCCTGGTCTGAACGGAGGCACTCGTGTYGCTGTACCCACCCGGGCTGCTTGCCGGGGCTTGGTTGCTTGTAGACAGGGTGATTGCTTGTCCCTGCTTCGTTTGCATTGCCTGCAGTTTGGATTGGGGAAGAAGTACTGAGTGAGAAGTTCTTCTTATGGCTTCTTGCTCGTGCGGGCAAATTGGAAAAGAATCTTTTTGCTRCTGTATGAGTCTTTCCAATATGCTTCCTAAGATGACAGCAGGCTACCTAATTCTTCCTGGAGGAATCCTTGCTGTATGTGTGCATCAACCCTCTTCTGAATATAGGACAAAGTAATAGTCTTATGAATATGGAATTAGAAACTATGAATTCATCTGTTGCTGTTTACTGTATGAACTAGGCCTGCCCCTGGGTTGTCTGTGTATACCACGTGTGTGTGTAGTTGCATTGCCCCCTCCTGGTAAAYGCTGCTTCACTGCGTGGCCTTCCATTGGGAGGTGGCAAAGTACCATTASGAGGTCGTCATTAAGGCACCTTGAAGTCAGATAAGGAACCAGAGCATTTATGCTCTTTTTTTCTGTTTTGAAAAAAAAAATATGAAAAATTCTGTTTCAGCATTTCTGAAATTTCTTTAAAGAGCTTCTCCCCATGCCTTCTGGTGAACAGCTAGCTCTTGAAATTCCTCTTTTCCTCTGCCATGTATGAGAGGGTTGGTAATCACATATCCAGCTAAAGGAGATCCGTATTGGCCTCTGTAATTTCAGCAAGTCCAGGTCTGTACCTGCTGTCCAAATGGGCGTGTGCAGGCCTAGTATTTTACATCAGGATTATTTAATGCTTAATGGCATATGCTAAGAGTTAAAATATCTAACAAAAAGTGCAAGTTTTGTAAACAGACCTTAAAATTATTTTGATTCAGCCCAGAAATTGCAGAGTTCTTTCATCCACATTCCCCTCCTTTGGGCACCCCAAAGRCCACGTCTTCCCGTGCATCCCGCTGGGATCGCTGCTGACCCTGGTTGGGAAGGCAGCTGGTTGGGGAGGCAGCCGAAGGGCCAGGGGCTGCCTGCAGCTCGGTGCTTCTCACGTCGCTTTTGCCAAAATTTAGAGTAGCCCCTGAGGGGAGGGGGTTGTCCCGGTGGGTTTCCTCTCCCTGTGCTCCTTGGAGCACGTGCAGTTTTGTTCAGCTGGGCACTGGGGTTGCCCGCACTGCGTTCGGAGGCAGGGAGCTTTCCTCTTCCAGCACGAGGGAGCTTTCCTCTGGGCACGAGGGCATCGCGCCCGGCTCCTTGCCGGCTGCTCCAGGGCCAGGGCCTTGCGTTTCACCCCCTGGCCTGGGGGCTGAGCTGGTTCCTGACGGGAAGGTGGGAGCAGTGCAGAGGGAGCCGCTCTCTCCGGATGCTCTGGCGCACTGTGGGGGTGTTCCTTAGAGGCACCTGGTGGCACAGATGCTTTTTTCTCTTCTTTTCATGCTAGGTATSAGTAAAAACCTGTTGTAAGGACTGGGTTCTTCTTTTCATGATAGGTATTAATAAAAACCTATTGGAAGCACTGGGCTAGCAGTCTTGTTCAGTGTTTGCTTAAAAATCTCTTCTTTTAARGTGGAATGGGATTTGATTATTTCCTGAAGCACTGGGAGACCAGCCCTCCTATTCAATTAGAAACTTCTTTTCATCTTGGAAAGTTGAGTTATTTGTAATTACTGCTGAAAAACTCTCCGTTGACTCAAGTGACAATGATCTTGTTTCTTCAGAACGACCTAAAGACCAACCCATCTTCCCTGGGATGAGACTGATGCCATGCCCAGATTTGCCATATATCCACTTAACGTGTCAACAAGATGCTGTTAGGCAGACAGGCTTCATATGCTTAAGAAGTGTTTGGGCTGCTAAGTGTGCATATCAGGCAGTCAGCAGCGTGTCGTCTCCTGCATCCCCAGGGCAGCAGAATTATTGTACTTCACATCTCAGTTTTCTTCAATGAAGAGCCTGTCAGACTTGATTAGCCAAGAGGCACCTGAATATACTGACTTAGATATCGAAGTTGTTTGACACAGATGCGTATATTCAGAAATAAAAGTGCCTGCCTAATCCTTTTAAAGTGCTTAAAAAAATAAAAAAGGGAAGCAGCGAAACCTGTGAAATCCACTGTGTTCCACAGCTGCCTTGGAGCCCTTTTACTATTTTTATATCTCCATGCAATGAAGAGCAGTTGTTTAAGTGAAAAAGCCTAGTGAATGTATTTGGTTAGGAGAGGAGATGCAAGAGCATGAAGACTCTGTTTCTACGAACAGACAGAAGACATGACAGGAGAAAAGAAATAATGTCTTGTGGCATGGGAAGTTAGCAGGGAACCCAGGACGACTTTACAGAGAAGGAAGAGCAAAGTTATCTTTACAAAGCGGGCATATTTAAAAAGTAGCCTGCAAGAAAGGTGCATTTTTTCAAAATGCAATGGACTGCAAAAATGCAATTAGTTAGGAGACCTGAGAAGCATCCCCTTCTTATTAAGTATTACCAATTATTACGTGTTACCCTCATTTCTTTCAGTGCTTGTGCCTTAATTTGGGGTGGGATTTCAGGAGACAGAAAAAGCTAATGAACTTTTAGTTGCTTCACAACATGTAGGGTAAGGAGCCAAGAAAGCTCATCCCACGAGGAAACAGTGTATCTTAACATTGATACGTTCCCGGCAGCTTAGCTTCAACCAAAAAAATGAGCATTTCATTCACCTCACTGTGAAAAAGGAAACCAGTATAGGTCTTTATTGTGCTGGGTTTTATATATCAGATATAAGTTGACAGTGCTTTTTTGTCCACATTTCTTCTGTGATTTTCAGCATCTTGCAGAAGTCTGTGGTGAAAGTAGATGCTGTAGAGAAATTCCCAGCTGATGGTAGGACAGGAGGCAGCTGCGCCTTTTGACACCTCGGGAGCTGTGGAGGCTGCCTGGGATTTTGGAGTAGGTGGAATAGCTGGAAGCTTCCACAGAAGTGCAGGCAGCGTCGGCACGGCTGTACGGAYACCTGAAAGATCTGCTTGGAATTTCAAAAATACTTTCCAGAGCTCTTCTCCAGATCCTGGAACATTTTCCAGGACCCCAGTTCCCATTTGGATCATGCAGGCAGCTTATCCACAGGACCGCAGGAGCTTAGCTCAGCTCTTCTTGTTTTAAATSKAGGTGCTTCTGATGCCCTGGGAGGGGCAGAGGTGCTGTAGGGCAGCCTGCCTGCTCTGCTAGGTGAGGTTTGGGGCAGTGCAGGAAATGGAGCTGCCTACTTGTCCCAACAGCACCAAATTCTTAGCAGGCCACGGACTCTGGTAAGAGTGAAGCTGCTTACCAAGAACTCAGGAGGTCGCCATTTGAGTTTTAGCTAATTCTGTGGGGCTAATAATTTCCTTTTAGTAACTCTTGCGAGTTCMGTGTGGTGCAGGCAAGAAAATAATCACTTTGCTTAGCTCCCAAGTTCAACAGTTCTTAAAAGACCGAGATTTCAGCTTGAGCCCCTTGTGTGTGCTTTTGATGAGGTGCATGCCAGTTTCCACACCTCGATTTCAAGAAGATGCTACATGAAAAGATTGGATTGGGGGGGTGGGAGTTRTTTGATGAAGAAATCCAAGAGAGAAAGTGATGCTGCTTTCAGGGATACTCAGGTGGGGGGTGCAGTTTGTTTCCCAGTGGAACACTTGCATAGAAAACTGTGTGACTCCGTAGCAGAGCTCGCCCGTCCTGGTAAATCCTTCTCTTCCCAGCAGAAAGCAACCCCACCTCTTTCTTTGATAACAACAACAGAAGTAAGACTTTGTGGTTTCTTTTCCCTTTCTGCAGCAACAAAGAAGGGAACGGGAAGCTCGAAGGCAACAGGAGCGCGAGCAAAGGCGGAGAGAGCAGGAAGAGAAAAGACGTCTGGAAGAAATGGAGAGGAGGCGTAAGGAAGAGGAAGAGAGAAGAAGAGCAGAGGAGGAAAAGAGGAGGGTAGAAAGGGAGCAGGTGAGTCCATGATAAAGATATGTGTGCACTGGGTTTGTTTCTTCTAAATTCTAATTTTATTAAAAAAAAAAAAAGAATGAGGAAGCCTAGAAACAATCTCCTGCTGACCCTTCCGTCTTTAGCTCTCTCAGCAAGTGCACTAACGTAGACCATAGGGCTTTATGGAAAATTCTGGCAGCCTCAACTGTGCCCTGAAAAAGAGCTCTTGTTACAAGCCTTACTCTAAATTCAGCTCGCACCGCTGGGCTTCACTAAAACTCGGCAGAATTGGTGAGATAGGCACTGTGCTAAAACCTGGCGCCGCGCTCGTGCTGCTGGGGCTGCTRCAGTTCTGCGGAGATGCCCCCGTTCGGGCGGCCCCGGGGAGAAGGGGCGCGCTCTGCGTGTCAGCTCCAGGCACCTCCAACTCCTGTTCGTAAACTTGGAATATTTGGAATTGGCAACGGAACCTTGGAGCTGCGGAGAGTTTTCCTTCCTTGAGGTTATTTTCCTCTCTCTTACTCTGTCTATCCCAATCTATAATAATTTGTGCCAACTGAGGCAGCTGGAATATCTTAAGTTGCATCAGTGTGCCCTTGAAACGTTGACCGTGCAGGTGAGGACCCCGGGAAACTGTGAAATTCAGCTGCCGGATTTGTGCATGAAATCTGCATGCTGTAAAATTCTTTGCAAACTTTAAGCAGGGTAATAATTACTGTGCATGTATTGCGGAATACTGATCCCAAATGAAGGGCCAGATTTTTTTTCTCCTAGAGGCTGATTGTAAATTTGCCATTCGCTTCAGGAATACTGGTTTGGGCCTGATGCATTTATGTTTTCCTGTGTAAAAGGCATCATATTTGAGACCCTCATGTTACTAGGGAATTTTTATTGTGTATGTCTCAAAGACTTCTGGAGTCGAAAGAAAAGATATTAACCATTGGGAGAAAATACATGGGAAATTTACAATTACAGCCCAGCGATTGCTTTGGGGCAGACACCGGGTATTCCCCCAGCTGCTGTTTAACCTCTTGATGCTAATTACGCCCTGTGCCACTAACGACGAGCGGCTAATTGATGCTCCCGCCTGAGCCGCTGTGAATTTTGGATCCTTTTGGTAAAAGAAAGGAGCAATATGTCCCGATATGTCCAATATCCCTGCGACTCCAGCTCCGGATCAGGCTGCGTAAAACGACGCCAYGGCGTCAGCCGGTCCCGGGCTTTCCCGTAGCTGCCGTCACTGTTGCCATCGATGCCTACGCTGTGAACGTGAGCGTGCGTGTGCCTGTGTGTGTGCACGTGTCACTGCAACACATCGCCATTAACCGCATGGAAGGATGTGCCCAGCTCGGCGCTCCAGGGCTCCGGTTGTGCCGGGATGGGATGGGGGGCAGGCGAAGCAGCCGTCTCGGCCGGTCGAGGACGCGGCGCAGGAAGGGGCCGGATCAGAGCGAGCCCGTTGGGTCCCGTGCCTGGTTCCTGGTGGATGTTTGTTTGTTTGTTCGTTTGTGCCATAACCATCGCATACCTCAGCCGGGCTGGCAGCGGGGGCCCGGGAGAAGCTCTTGGGCCCAAGGGAGACGGCAGGGCAGGGCCGAGCTGCTCTGGCAGAGCCCCCGGGGCGGCTTGCCCCAGGTCTGCCTGCACTAAGCCTGGCTCTAGCTCTTGCTAACAGTTCATCGCACCAGTGCAACCAACTAATGTTTAATACGACTTGCATGTGACTTTGTGTTGGCTGTGTCCAGTCAGACTTGCTGTGTTTTAACTCTTCCACAACCTTCWAGTACATTTTGCTGCTTCTTGAAATCACTTCCAAAACACACGAACGAGCTCTGGCCCACGCCGGCTACGTTTGCAGCAGTCCCAAATTCTGGACCTGGTGGGCCAAAATACCCCGTGTTGAGGTGACAAGGCTCCCTAAATTGTTCTGTAGGCACTAATGAATCCTGAAGTGAAATCGTTAAAGCTGACCTGGGGAAGTAGCGTGTGGTGTGCCACCCAGGGGGTTCTGATGCATTCCTTTTGAATAAATTTATTGCTGGGTAATTTCTATGTGACAGGAGTATATCAGGCGACAGCTAGAAGAGGAGCAGCGGCACTTGGAAATTCTACAGCAGCAGCTGCTCCAGGAGCAGGCCATGTTACTGGTAAAGCACTGTATCTGTTTTGTTCAGTAGCTATAGGATCCATTTATCCAGCCAGTCCTAGGCTCCCTCGTAAGCCGGGCACAGCTGCACTGCAGTATGAACAAGGGAGCCTGGTTCCAAGGCCATTTAAGCCAGGGCTGACAGGCACATACGAGAAGTGCTCTATGGTCACGCTGCTTTCTGGGCAGTAAGAGGAGGCTTTATGCTCAAATGGAAGAGCTCTGGTTTGGTGGTCAAGTTTCTGAACAGACCTTGGCATTCAGTGAAGAGCTAGAGTGCTTATGTTGCAGATCAAAAGCACACATGACATGTAAATCCACCCCGGGGCACAATGGCCTAGTGTTGCTCTAAGTCACTGCTTTTCGAACTTTACACTGGATTTAGTCTAAATGACTCTAGTTTTGTTTTTTTTCCATGTAATAAAAATCAGTTTTGACATAACTCCCCAGTCGTGCCAAGCTTAGCAGCACACCCTCCGCTTCCCCAGCGCGAGGCACACGCCAGTCTGGTCCACCCTAGCTCTCGGCTACCCTGTAACAGCAAAACTAAGCCAAGAAGCGAGCGAGCGAGCAGCGGCGAGCAGGAAGGAGCGTTTGTAGCGGGATGGCGAGGGGCAYGTGYGCCGCGCGGCGCCGGGCGCCGCCTCACTTGCTGCCGCCTTCTCTCCAAGGAATACAGGTGGCGGGAGATGGAGGAGCACCGGCAGGCGGAGCGGCTCCAGCGGCAGCTGCAGCAGGAGCAAGCCTACCTGCTCTCGCTGCAGCACGACCACAGGCGGCAGCAGCAGCAGCAGCAGCAGCAGCAGCAGCAGCAGGAAAGGACTAAGCAAAGCTATCATGGCCCTGAGCCCAAAGCCCACTACGAGCCTGCTGAGAGAGCACGAGAGGTAAGTTGGGCTCCCAGGGAGGCAGTCGGCTGCCTGCTCCTCTGGCCCTGGTTGTAGGTTCTGGTACAGCACTGTTAAGGGCTGGGGTGTCACTGATAGGACACAGGGTTCCTGTAAATGTCCCTTGTGGGCTGCTGAGCCCGACAGGTTCTCTGGATGCTTGTGCAAGTGCTGTAGGGCAGCACTGGTGGGTTTAAAGGGTAGAAAGAAATTCTGCAACCCTGGCATCTGAGGGGGCCTGTTTTGGAAGCCTCCCTTTGAACACCTTTTCCTGGGAAGCAATGGTGCAGTCGGTGCTTCTGKCAAGCCCTGTGGACTGGAAATTGTGAGGTGATTGGAAAGCACAAACCTGCAAAAGGGACCTGCACATGGGACCTGTTCACACATCTAACCCGTGTTCTCGGAACTGGTCTTCTCATGAACACAAATGTGGGTTTCATAGAATCACAGAATCAAGAGAAYCCTTAAGGTTGGAAGGGACCTCTAGAGATCATCTAATCCAACCCCACTGTTCCAGCAGGGACACCCAGAGCACGGGGCACAGGGCGGCATCCAGGCGGGTTTGGAGACCTCCAGAGAAGGAGACTCCACAGCCTCCCTGGGCAACCTGTGCCAGGGCTCTGGCACCCTCACAGTCAAGAAATGTTTCCTTAAGTTCCTGTGGAGCTTAAGTTCCATTGGCTTCATTTCACACTTCATGTGAAGTGTTCCTTTCTGAGAGCACATCCCACTCTTAAACTCCCTGAGACCTTCATGGGCTGAGGGCCGCCATCGGAGCGCTGTGTGTCTCCCTGAGTGCTCCRAGGGTGACACTGATCAGCAGTAATTGCCTCTGTGGTGACAGAGCAGGGCTCTGTCAGCGGCCTCTTTCTCTTCCTCCTCTTTCCCTTGAGCAAGAGGGCAGCGCCGTGTTGCCCACAAACCACCTGGCTGCGGGACTGGTCAAAGCTCTTAGTGGCTTTCAGTGCCAGCATGTGGTAACTAGATAAATATATCTTGGAAAAGGAAGAAAAAACTCCATGTTAGGCATGATAAAATAATTTTCACTCCACYTTTATCCAATAGTTGTTCATAGCTTTGGAAATATTGCTGTTTTGACATGGTAAACACAAACAGATTTTCTTCTAGATGCTCTTGTCCTCGTTCTCCTTTTTTTATGATCTCATCCATTCCTCTTGGGTGAAGTATCTGGTACTTCTCTCTCCTGACAGAGCTCAGGCTTGTGCAGCATGTGCACGCCTGCAGTCAGCCGCCAGGTACTTGTTGCAAATTTTTGCCTCATCTCTGTGAAGAGGCAGCGCAGAACCAGCCCTCCTGTCCTGCTGGCGGGGTTCCTGAAGGCTGGTTTTGAAGGATGCAGAGCCATCTCCRTCCCTCCTCCCCCGTTTGCCTTCCCAAACTGGAAATGGGGGAGCTTCTGGAGGTTTGGTTGTAGCAGGAGCACTAACTCAGCTCGTCTTCTGTGTCCTCCTCCTTTCCTCAGTGAGCTTGCTAAAAAGGAATCCAGTGAAGGCAAAGAAAAATCATGGTATTAGTCAGATCTTCACAGAATTGCAATGTAATATTTTACCTTAAAGGAGTGTAGTAGAAGTATCCCAGATATCTCTATTTGGGAGTGACATCAGTTAATCTTAAAAGCAGACATGAACACTGATCTAATTCTTGTCATTAAGTAGTGAGTTGGGCTTTCAGGAGGACTGCTGTCCAGAGAAACCCCCCGTCTGCTGAAATGCTGCCCATCATGATGACAGGCCAAAGTGGTTATTTTCTGTAGAATGATTAGGGATTTTTTCCATTCCGGTTGGAAAACGGGATACCAGGGAAAGGACCTCTGATGATGGCTTTGGGAAGCAGGAGGAAGCTCCGAGGAGCAGAACCAGTTTCTGCAGTAATGCCCTGGCTCTCTATCTCATCTGCTTGTTCTGAGGGAAATGTAGCTGGTGCAGCTTCCGTGCTTTGGAAACCTCCTGTTGTCTGCAGCTAGTGCCATAAAAGCCAGAGACATTCAGACTTGGAGCTTTTCCTTGGTCTTTGCATAGCAAGAAGACTATTAGRAGGAGTCTGGCCTATTTTCAAACTTGGAAAGGTGACTGTGGGTGGTTGAGAATGGCAGTGAAAATGATTGCAGGATGCAGATTCTCTCCTCCCCTGGGTTTGTGTGTGGCAGGATGTGGCAGGCAGGCCTGGCAGAAGCTTCTCTGCCTGCTCCCGGAGGCACACGGTGGCTGGCCSCAGGTTGTGGCAGGCGGGGGCAGGTTGGGTTTGTGCAGCCCCAGCTCTGCCTTCCAGCGTGGTGGCGTAAGCAGCCCGTCCCGCCAGACCGTCATAGCTGGGGGAGCAGTCAGGGGACACCCCCCAGGCTGCCTGCATGCTCCAGGCACAAGGATCAAAACTCAGGAGCAGGATCTCRACGTATGAGAACTTCCTAGCTGCAGCTTGATCCGTCTTTGGTGCTTTGCTGAAGTGCTGGAAGCTTCATGTTCCTCAGAGGTAGCTCCTCTGGCAGAGAGGTGTTTGCAAGGACAGGCCGTCCTAGGAGATGGGGGGCTGCTTCCTGCCTGCCTGTAACCCCTTCCAGCCTTTCCCTCCTTGCTGCTCGCTCTGTTCCCAGTGTCATGGGCTTGCAAGGGATGAGGCTTCTGCTCAGGGCATCTGCTCCCTGTCCTTCTGGGGCCTGAGCCTGGAAGGGTTCTCCTGGCTAGTCCTCCTCAAGTCCCACCCAGCATTCCCGCTGGAATAGGGGCTTGGAGCACGGGACTTGGAGGCTGTTTGGGCAATATCTGAAAGAGAGAGCATGGCCAGTCCTACAGTTTCATACCTAAAGGTGCCTCCAGTGTTACCAGGAAGAGAAGTGTGTCCTGTCTGTTCTTACATTGCTCAGAGAGACGGGCACAGGGGCCCTTCAGTTTAATCAGGTGGGTAACCTACGCTAAGGGATAGCAACAGGAAATATATGTATATTTTTTAATTTTAAAGTTTTTTTCTGTTTTCATCTATACCTTTCTGTTGTCTCTAAAGAAGATTCTGATGGATGGTCCAGCTAGAAAGAAGCCCCGTAATTGTCTTTCATCAAATCACATCTTGCTGCCTCTTGCAGCCTGTTTCCTAGTAGAGATTTTCCATATTGGCGTACTTACCACTTCGGTGCAGCTCCCTGTGTTTTCCATAGCTGGCGAAAGCGATATGCAAAAAATAGAAATATTCTGCCAAACTTCAAATGTATTTGTTTTCTTTATGATAAAAGACAAAAAAAAAAAAAAAAAAAAAAAAAAAAAAAAAAAAAAAAAGTACAGATTTAAAATTAAAAACAGATATACAGAGCATCAAACTGTATGATAAACCACAATGACATTACTTGGAGGCTTGCAAATTTGGCATAACTCTGCTGCACTGTGTCCCAGGTGAAATTATCATATTGAAGGTAGGCTGTGATGTTTCACTAGACAGATCTGACTGCAAGAGTATCTTTGTAGTAGAAGCCCAGGTATCCTTGT